TTAGGGTGGTGTCTGGCCACAAAGGTCTACGGGTGTCCAACGAAAGAGAAGGGGGATGCTCTAGATGACGGTCACTAGAGAGGTCGGTATTTTAATTAAATTCTCGCTCTATGTCTTCCAAGTAGATGTTACCACCCGAAGCCTCTTTATGATCTTCCATCTTGCCCAAATTAAGAGCTCGTCCTTTAATGGTAGACCTAGCGATGCTAACTGGTGGGATCAGGATATGACGATGATCAAAATAAGTCATCTAGTTGTCTCAGCCCATTCCCTAAAGTGGTAAGGACCGAAACCATCAAACAGTTGCGACAATAGGTGACTCTTAAGTAGGTCGTGGAAGCTTAGGCTCAGGTCTCGGGTGATAAGACTAGTGGGGATGTAATTGGAGTGGGGATAGTCATGAGTTTTCTCTCATAATCTAGTCATTATTGCCCACTCAGGTAACGAGTCCAATCTAAAACTCTTTGGGGTCTTATCGGGGTCATGGTAAGTGTCAAGTGAAACCTATACAATTGGGGTGCAAGGTACCACTCTCCTCAACGAGGAACAACACCATTTAGAGAACTTGCTAAAGTGCCAGAAAAAATACTGGACAGCAGCTACAAGCAGGGTCAAGTCACCCGGTGTTTAGGGAGTTGCAAGGCTTGGCACACTAAATCAAAGGTTAGAACTCACTTAAATGCTACAAATAATGCACGAAATTTGTGTGGACAGCAACTATAGCAGTTGGGAAAACAGCGACGCAAACTGAATGATGGATGACGTTATCTAAGACAATTTGGGTGACTTAGAGTGTGGACAGCAAGTGATGCTTCCTAAAATCGCCCAAATGGTTACTAATTGCGCAGGATTAACGTGGACAGCAATTTCAGCAAAGCGTTAAGGTAACCTAAGATGTTGGTAAGGTTCTTCAGGTGAATGGCAGCAACCTAACAGTGACGAAAAGTTCTCTAAACGACGTCAAAACAGTTGCGATGGAATGTGTGGAAAAAACGCTTATCAAACAAAGGTTGGTTACCCTACGCAATTATAACAATGTAAGTCCAAGGCTGACACTCACGACTCTAAGCCTAGGGATACTTAAATCCAATGTCATGGGTGCCAGGAAATGCAATTTCAGCAGCGACCAACAGGAAAGAATCTAACAATAGCAATGTACCACATGCAGAGTTTAAGCTCCCAATGAAGGCAGACCCTAGGATGTTTTCTCTACACATAGTCGGCATGCCTACCATGCTCTGATTACAAGATGATGTGAAACGATTAGCATGGATGATTAAATTAAGAGTTTGCACGCTTAAATTTAGAGCACAATAATTATAAAGCTTCTTCTGATGATAAACGACAAAATAAAAATGATAAGTGATAAATTCGCTTAGGTTAAAACATCATGCGAGAGTGAGAACATTAAATAGTCAACTACAATCTTACTTGTAGACAATTGAAGTGGTTTCAACGAGAAATCCATGTAAACATTAAGATTAGACACATATGCCAGAAACCTCACACAATTCTACTATACTAAGCTTTAGCGGGAGAGATAACACAATTCTCCATGATTCATATTAACACTACATTGAGGGCAACTAAAAGAAAAAGAGTAAGGAGGTATACCCAAGAAATAGAAGATAGTGGAGCTTGGCGTTGGCTGAAATTACTGGACAACAGCTATTCAACACTGGATTTCCCAGGCAGATGATGGGCAGATTCTGGCGCGCTTAGACAGTAGGCTAGCTGCTGTTGGGCATCAGGGCGAGCAAGCTATTTTGCTCCGGAAGCTTCGAGACAGGAAACTGGCTGTTTCTGAAATTTGGACAGTATTTTCAAGATGCAGAAAGCAGGCAGCCACACAAGAAATAGATAGAATAGACTATTTGGCGTTGGCTGAATATTCGCTGGCCGCCAGGTTTAGGAGGTAAGACTCAATTGCTTAAGGGTTGGGCAAGGTTAAGTGGGGGGATTGGGGGAAGGCCAACGCATGAGTCTTAGGGGAAGTTTCAGCCATTCAGCATGGAGAATTTCAAATGGGAATTAACTTCCATACATGACAGATAGGAAAACCGATCGAAGGGAAAGGGTGAAGCGTTTTTAAATTTCAGATTCTGAAAATATTGATTAAGAAATATGGAATTAACCATGTGAGAGGAGAACATTTAAGAGGTATTTAAGTGTGGGTGAGGTGGCAAATTAGAGAGAGAACAATGAGGGTTGAGGTGGGACACACTAGTGTTAATTTAGGATTTTAAAATAAAATCTGAAATTAAATTTCAGTTTATTTGGAAGAGATTCCTAACATTAAAGACATCAATTGATTGAATTCGAATTTCAAATTGAAATTTAAAACTCCAATGTAAATGAAGGCACTGATTCTAGGGAAGCAATTTAGGAAACAATTAATTGGCGCATAACCATTTGAATCTCAATTTTGAATTCAAATGAGGGCAGAAGCGGCGCAGGAAGGGGGAAAGAGAGCGGCGGGGTGGCCGGCGCCTGCTAGCCGGGCTGGTCATGGGCTGGTGGTGCTGCTGGTCGGCGGATGAAATTTTGGAGGGAAATTTGGTGGGGATCAAGGGTATTATGGTGGCGAATGAAAGTGGAGGGAATTCGACTGCAAAAAAGAAAATAGAAAAGAAGATAAGAAACCGAACCTTGGAATCCACCAAGATTGACGGGTATTGACTTTTGCCTCACCTTGGGCTTTCCATAAACTCCACACAGAGATCTTGGAGAAAAGAACTCACTAAGAGATCTTCAAGAGAACTCACAAAGAGAACAGAAGAGCCCAAATTTTCCAATTCATAATCATCATCCTCAATACAAGGAAAGCCTAGCTACTAATAGGCTCATGAAAAGAAAAATAAACAAAGACTAAAATGCCCTTCGGGCTACAAACACTACATGATCACCCGATAAGCGCGTATAACATGGAAAAAACAACAATATAAACTAAAACTCAGTACAAAAACATATAAATAAATAACTAAAAAAAATCGTAGCCGTTGATCTCCGATGTCCTCATCATATCATTTAAGCAATCTTGATTTGATTTTTTGAACATTTTTTTTTTAATCTTATAACAGGAGAAGGTTTTTTCAACAAAAAAATATTTTTTAATAAAAAGTGAGCTCTTTTAAGCTCTAGCTAGAGTTTTTAATAAGCTAAACCACTTGGCTTGCTTGAAAGCTTTAAAAAATCATGAGCTATTCCTACAAAACTCAGGGCTTGCTTAGACGAAGATATTTAATTAATTATAATAGAAATTCTATAAAGGATAAACCTATTGGTTCCGTCAAAACTGTTTTCAGATGATTAAAGTTCTATTGTTGATTTATTTCTTATTAAAAAGTGAGCTCTTTTAAACTCTAGCTAGAGTTTTAAATAAGATAAACCAGTTGGCTTGCTTGAAACTTTCAAATTCATGAGCTATACCTACGAAATTCAGGGCTTGATTAGACGAAGATATTTAATGAATTATGATTAGAAATTCTGTAAAGGATAAACCTTTTGGTTCCGTCAAAACTATTTTCAGATGATCCAAGTTGCATTGTTGATTATTTACAGAATCCATAAACAGATGCCTCACTTTGACAATGACATTAATGGCAAAATTTAGGAAGACGATATCTACATTGTTGTTTTAATCAAAATCTCCTATTGTCTTATTATTAATGAAAAAGTCATCACATTAACAAAAACTTGTTGATCATGAATGAACACTACAGGTGTAAAATTCGTGTTGTTTATAATGTGAAATATTGGATGAGCTATGTGCACAACAGTGTGTGTTCATCATAATTCAAATATTGAATATTACCAGAAAAAGATGTAACTTATGATAATTTTGACCAATGCAGTTTTTTCGAAATTGAAACCAACATTAGTTCATTATAAATTTCAAACTATTTTTCAATTGCAACATATATAGTTGAAGCCTTTCGTTTTGATATTTTTCTGTCGCAAAGTCTCTTTCAATACTGTCATCATTGGCTGAACCTTACTATATTTTGGCAGCTTTATCAAAACTGGAAGATGATATTGATGCCCGCATAACCCTATCATTCCTTCTTATAGATGAAGGAAAGGATGATGAAGCAATCTCACTGCTGTCACCTTTAAAGTGCTCAAGTAATACCCATTTTATCTGGCTCGATCATTTTGCTTTTATCTAGTTTCCCTACGAATTATTGGCACTATTTGTCAAGGGAAACTCAAACTCTCCCAAAAAAAAAAAAAAAGCTTTCGAGGAGCCTTGTTGTATCTCCCAGTTGGTGAGAAGTGAAAACTGTCCCAAGGACAGACATGATTTGCTCTGGAAAAGTTTGAAGGCTTTGGTTTGTATGGCACTGCTGAACTTTCAAATGATTACTTTCATCTGACAGGTACCATATCTGATGTTTCATCTACCTTCTCCAAACCTTGGTGGCTTAGTGAGAAAGTGAAGATGCAACTTGCAAAAATTTATCATTCCAAAGGAAGGCTTGAGGAATTTGTTGATGTAATATTTCCTTCCGTTCAGAAAACATTACTTGTTGAATCTATGAATCAAAAGGTAAGATAGCATCTCTTCTTTATTTTGTTTTTGTAGAATTTTAGAGTGAAATGTTTTTGGTAACAAAACCTTCGTTCTTCTCAAGTCATACTCTGAATGTGCTTGAATTGTTGTCTATTTATTGACATCTTTGTGTGTATGCCTATATAAGATAAATTGCTATTGAGAAGCACTACTTAATCTTCATAAAGGCTTGAAGGATAGCGTGCATGTCCTTACTTCTCTAGAATTTGTGTTTTAACTGTTTCTTACAATAAAATTAACTCATTTTCCACAATTATTTTCAATTAAATTATAGTTAAAATATTCATCTATGTCCCTACTAGGAATCTTTTTGTTTAGATGTCAAATTTTTCTTCTTATGCCTTTAAAGATTAAAGTAAATCCTAGCTGTTCACTTCTTGTCAAAATTATCAGATTTCAATGTGGCCTTGTTATCTTTATAAACTCATTTATCTAACAAATCTTAATTTTATGGTCTTTATGCATCTGTTTTTGTTAGTTATGACAATTATTTTCATTTTACTAGCTTAAGGCGAGATCAAACAAAAGACTCTCAAAAAGCGTCCTACTTGAAAGAGTCAAGTTGTTGGACGATCAGCAGGAAGATAACGTATTTCGTGGCTTCAAACCTGTTGCAACATCATCAGACCTGTCAGTTATCTTGCCTCGTTAATGTTATACTTTTGTGATCTTTCAGTAGAAAGTAAACCATTTACTATTGTTGTCAATTTTTTTTAGTTTTTTTTTTAAGTTTGCAATTGGACATACTTTTGGTCATCATTTTGCTCTTCTTTAAAAATTCAACTTTTGTTTGAGTGTTAATTGATCCGTCCATTTTGTTTCTTCTATGCAGTTAGGTCCTGTGCAATACTTCCATAACATTTAATTATCATATAGGGATTGCATACGACCTAAACAATTTAATGGCTAATTTTTAGAACCAAAATTGCCCAAGTGGCCTATAAATTTGTTCGGTAAATTTTATTTGGACCATAACATAATTGGTATAGGGCTATGATGCACCAACACTTCTCTTGACGCTCAACGAGGTATGCAGTGTCCGAAACGTATAGGGCATAACATGCATCTGACACGCCTTGGCATGTGTCTTACATGCCAAAGATGTTTTGGATTAAAAAAAATATTAATTTCTTAATTTTTTTTAAAAAATATAATTTCTTGTGCTTCAAATTTTTATTTTTTAAAAAATAAATAAAATTCTTTTATAAATCTTTAAAATTTATATACCCAACATCGCTTTAGTTTTGAATTTTAAGATCAAGGGACATAATATGTAAAATATTGCAAATTATTGCTCTAAAATTAGATGAGGGCTCTTAAAAAACACCAACAACAAGATTTTTAAGAATAAGATTCGAGATCTTTTGATTTTGTCTGTGCATGAGGAAGCATAGACAAGAAGTGAACCTAAGGCCGATTATTTATAATAATAGCCATAAATTCTTAAATTTTCTAATCCTGTCAAAAATTAAAATGATTGCAAGCATATAAAAAATTATAAATGACTATTTTACCATTCAAAATTGAGAAAGTTATATGAAAAAAGACTTAAAATAAGTAACTAAATATTATTATTTTGACCTAAAACTCAATGCTGGTTGAAGTTTTTCTTTTTTTTTTTATAGCAATTTTCACTCAATGCTAGCACTTTTAGTAATAGTAGTTATTATAACAACAAAAGGAGCGAAATGATTATTATTTTATAATTCTTAATCTTAGGTTTTTTTTAATGAATATAGAAAATCCTTCTTTGTCCCTAATATTTAGGTTTTGAATCATTATATTTTGGGAATGATATATTTCATTGAATCTCATCATCAGCGTCAATAATAGTCTTTTCCCAATTTTTTTTTGTGCTTGTGTAAAACCCAAAAACCGTCGTCCGTATGCGTCGCACACATTTCGATGCGCCGCGACGAAATTAGGTGAAATTTCGAAGTCGTCGAAATTCGACGCAATAAATTTTAAAAAATTCTACGCGAAATTTTGATCGAAACAGTATAAAGAAAGTATACCTAATTTCACACGATTTAAAAATTAAAAATCGTAGAAGTTCGTTTAAGTAAAATTTTAGTCTCTTGCCCAAACTACCCCTCATGAGCCTTAAGGAATTTATTAAAGGGGCACATGCGTAATTGACCTTATAATTTTCCCTTAACTCCCCAAATCCGCCTAGGGACCGAATGTTTCGGTCCCTTGTTCATTTTGTTCGGCCGAGAGAGGGAGAAGGTGAAAACAAGAGGGGGGAGCTCGCGAAAGCCGTGTGTGGTTTCCGACGACTTTCTTGGAGGAAATGCAAGAGGAAGTCTAAGGGAGGAAGAAGGTAAGCTTCTAATGCAAGAAAAAATTTATTTCCCCTTAGTTTTCTTGGAGAAAAATTTTTAGGGTTTGTTCGAAACTCAAAGCTTTGAAGAAAAGTTATAGGGTAATATTAAGAAATGTTTTTCTCCATGAAAATACGAAATATTCTTAAAGGGTTTTCAAATTTCTTAAATTAGGGTTTTTCTATTTTTAATTTTTTTTTGAAAAGAATGTTAAAAAAACCTTGGTGAAGAACTTCTATCCTTGAAAATGCAAGTTTTCTTCAAGAAATTTTAGGTTTCAAACATTATGGTTTTTCATTTATTGAAATATTTGGAAGAGTGCTTAACTAAAGTTATTCCAAATAACCTTAGGAGGGTTCTAATGGTGAAAATTAGGAGTTTTTCACAAAATATAAATTTTCGGATTATTAAATTAAATTATAACCTAAATTTATAATTAGATAAGAGGGATGTTTTAACATAAAATTTTAATGAAATTAGTGAAGAATTATGTTTTCATGATTTGTATTTTAGGTAAATTAGAATATAACATTTAAATTAATTTTAATTAAGGAAAATATATGATAAAAATGTATTAGATTGTGGGTATGTTAATGAACATTAATAAATATATTATAAAAATACTTTAGGTTGTGGGCATGGTAATGAACATTAATGACCTTAGTGATAGAATTTATGTTAAGATTAATATGTAATAATATTTAGTCGCATTATTTGTAGGATTTCAAAGCAAAAAAGAAAGAATGGTCGCGAGGTTAGACGACGACTCGAAAACTTCTAGAGAGTGACATTTAAGGTAGGAACATTCAACTCTACAATTCATATTCTTTTATGATATGTTTTAAAATGTCTAGCGCACCTTTTCATATTTTAGATGTTCTCTCTCTTTGATAGAAATGCATTTTATAAGTTCTCTTTCTTTGATAGCAATGCATGTTAAAAGTTTTCTTTCTTTGATAGCAATGTATGTTAGTTGTTCTTTGAAATAAAATACAATCCTTCTTGTAAACTTGCTTAACAATACTTATAATTGATGCATATGGATGATATGAGATTGCTACACAACATTCCTATGAATGTAATGTATGAATAAATGTGCATGTTGAAGGCGGAGTACCAAATATGGTACATTAGCACAATATGACTTTTACGAGTAATATGACTCTTCGGGGCAAAGAGGAAAGAAAGATGATATGACCAAAAATATATTTGTGTACCTGATCAGTACACTTATAGTACTCCGGTATGATTGTATATATGTTAAAGAATAAGAATACATATTAGTACATTTTATGATATAAAGGACATGAAATAGTTGAAATGACCTCAAAGATATGCATATGAACTGTATCATGTTATACTTAAAAAACTCATGACATTTCATAATCATATAGCTGAGTTAAATTATTTTAAACATACATGTTGAATTTCTATCATGATATATGAATTTGTAAGAGTTAGTTGTTACCTACTGAGTGTTAGCTCATTCCCTCATTTTGAGATATTTTTCAGGAGTCTCCGCTGCTAGGAATTGCTGATTGACCTTGGCTTACATATAGTCATAGAGGGTCGTGAGACAGGTTCCTCTTGCATTTTTTTTTAGTTGTAGTATGATTTTTAGGTGGAATGACATGAAAGAAAAATAAAAATTTTTAGTCTACCTTTGTACATCTCGTATATATGAAATGTTTTATTTTTATGTTAGAGGTGTTTAATATATCTTTTGAATTATTTTAGATTTTTATTCATTTATATTTTATGATAATTTCATGTTCTGTTATATCATTTACATCTGACATCTGTTCCCGCCTCGTCTATACGAGCTCACTGGGCCTGGTCGTGACAAAAGTGATATCAAAGCCCAAGTTTATAATATGAATTAGTATAAAGCACTATTATGATGATTTATGAGTCCTAGAAATTATAGGGTGTATGTTTATATAACGATGATTGAATTGAAATTTTTATTTGGTTTAGGGCTATGAATCAGGAGCACGATGTCATTGATGGCAACATAGATAAGAACAATGAACAGGCTAGGAGAGAAGTTCCAATGGTACCATCTGTGATAAAACCACCTGGTGGTAGCAACAGTGCTATCATAGACACCTTTACTCAGATGATGGCGGATGTTTGATAGGAAATACTTGAAATCAAGTATTTCTTATTCACTTCTTGCAACAACTCTCCAAGCAAACTGCTGTCCGGAGCAGAAAAACAGTGAAAAACAGCGGAAAACTGAAGAAAAACTGAGAGAAAACGTAGGAAAACAATTGCAAACACTTGTATTCCACTAATAGATGCAAACAACTAGCAAGATACAATTTTCCTTCAATTCGAGAGGAAGGAAAAACTCTCCAAATCTCTAACCGTAGCCAAGAGCCCAAGAACACAAACCCTAGATCTCAAATCAAATTCCAATTCAAGATACCTCCCCAATTCTCTCATAACTCCCTAATTAAAGCAAAAGGAAAGATACAAATTACATAAACACCCTCCTCATTCAAAAATTCCCTCCAACGAAACGCTCCAACCCTGCCTAGCCCGCTCTCTCTTCCGCCGTTTCTACGACTGGGTTCCGCTCGGCTTTGGACCGCCGGGTGTAGAACCGGACTGGTCTAGCTGGGACCGGTCCAAGCGTAACATTACTTCCCTTCCAAAGATTCACCTTGTCCTCAAGGTGAAAGTACGGAAACTTCTGTTTCATCATCTCATAGGGTTCCCAAGTGACCTCCTAGTCGGGGAGATCCTTCCATTTGATCAACACCTCTTTGTTTCCTTTTTTATCCCGCTTGACCCCTTCTAGCTCCATGGGTTCCATAACCACTTCCAAATCCTCTGTCAATGATGCTGGCAATTCCACACTAGCTGCATGCTCTCCAAGTGCTTTTCTCAGCTGTGACACATGAAACACCGGGTGTATGGCAGCGGAGGATGGTAATTTTAGACGATATGCCACTGCTCCAATCTTCTCCAAGATCTCATAGGGCCCGAAGTACCTCGGGGCCAATTTCTCGTTTCTCCTGTTAACCACTGACTTTTGCCTGTAAGGCCTTAGCTTCAAGTACACCTTCTCCCCTACTTCATATTGTATGTCCCTCCTGTGTGTATCTGCTCTCTTCTTCATGATTTGTTGTGCTGAGTCGGTCCACCACTACCAGGACGACCGTGAATCCTTCTAATCTGGGTAAGCCGTCGATGAAATCCATGAACACTTCCTCCCAAACTTTGTTTGGAAGTGTCAATGGTTGTAGTAGTCCTCCTGGAGCCATCGCCATGTATTTGTTTCTCTGGCACACCTCACAC